AGTTTAACTCACACACACACTCTCACTGTTTCCTCTCTCTCCCCTTTTTCCCTCAAAACTCCACTATCTCTCTCTCTCTCTCTCTCCTTATTTTTCTCTAAACCCTTATTTTGTTATTCTGTTTTCACATTTTTAGGGGGCGGGAGCTGCAGCCCCAAGCCTCCTCCTCCTCTAGTAAGCCCTCAATAACAAGCAAAAACAACTGAATACGTGAAAGTTCATGCTCAAAACACATAATGAGTAACCCTCGAGATTATAATAGACTCGCCTGTTCGTTGTCAGTGTGTTTATCACACGATTACTCTACTGAGTCGAAGGGGCTAGGTCACTGAACTCTAACATGTAGTGTTAGAGTTCAGTGGTTTAGGTCAGGCAGGTGATAGAGAAGGAGTGGAAACTCTTGTAATTTATTCAAACTCATGCGTGAGTTCCAAATCGTAATACTGGGATGCGTAAAATTCCACTTGGCTTTGAGTTCCATGCTCCGAGCCGCTCTTCCACTGCGGGGAATTTCGAAGGCCAGGCACCAATTTCACATTTATTAAATTACCGGCAAAATTTCAGTGTAAATTATAAACTTTATATGGGGATTGTATTGGGAACAGTGCACCAAACAATTTTTCAAATAGATCCTGACAAGAACTCAATATTTTGGGATAATCCGAATTTGTTCGCATGTTTTAATGTCCCGTCATTTGATCCATGATTTACAATCTTCGATAACTTTTAATGCCTATCTGCACAAGTTTGGCCAGAAGAGATTAAACCTCCCTGCATCATGGTCACTGACAGGTGGTTATCTCATGAAATCAGCTCTCAATTAACAAAAGAAAAGTGGGACAATGGGGACTAATGGTCACCGATAAGGCATTGCTTGCTATATAGAGAGCGCAAGTAGCTATAAATAGTGCAGTGGGGCTTTAAGTTTGCTAATGTGTACTTTCGCGTGCTTCTTGTATTTTTGCAGTTAAAAAAGGATGAAATTACAAAAGTTTGTGTTCGCTTGTTTAAGTCATTACACATTCAACAATTGATGGGAAATAATTGAAAGGGACAACGAACATTTGCTGAAATACCATTTTCTGATGTGGGAATTCTAAATCCTGATATTTCATGCGCTCTTTTATCTCACCACCTGGTCAACAGTTGCAGATTAGCGCATAACTTTTCGGCGGCTTGGAGCATAGGGTCACATTAGAGCGGCTTGATTCCACTCATTCTCTATCACCTCCCTAGTTAGGTACGGCCTGTGATCATAATATACGGGGGAGAGGGGGTGTTTCCCAAAGACTAAGATCAAATTAAGTTGGACTTTACTATGGCAGGCCATTTATGCCACTGTTTGCTCTCGACATTTACTGGCATCGGTCTCTCAAGAGACGTACAAATCATGGTCACAAATCTTCAGAATTCACATATTTGATAATTCATTATTGAAGGAAAAAATATTATCTAAAAATCATAATAGTGAGAGCAATCAGTGGCATTAATGGCCTGCCATAGTTAAATCCAACTTGAAGTCGATCTTCGTCTTTGAGAAACACCCCCAGGTCATTGCACAATATCTCCTTTTCTTATTCTTCTGTTTCTCCTTTCATCATGTTTTCTTCTTCCCTTTCTTTCAGCATAATTATGATAACCATTATCAGCATCATCATCGTCATCACCGTCGTCATCATCATCACCCCAACCCACCAACGTGCTCACAGGCAAACATGCCCAACCACAAATGCAAACAGACAACCTCTCTCTCTCTCTCTCTCTCTCTCTCTTTCTCTCTCTTTCTCTCTCTCTCTCTCTCTCTCTCTCTCTCTCTTTATTTCATAATAATTCACAATGAGCCATACAAAACGAGACGTTTGTTCAGATCATTCTGTGTATTTATTCATGTATTACCAAAAGAAAATCGGTGGGTAACTAACTTTAATTCCACAAAGAGCTACGTGATAATGCACTGTAAAAAAGAATTTGTTCATTGGTAATTTTTACGTATTTTTTCCATGTAGAATTTACTTGAAAACATTAGTTTTGCCACTTACGCACTAAATTTAAGTCTTGCTAACTCAAACTTTCAATTTAGTAGAACATACGTGGAATATTTAAGTAAAATCAAATACATAAGAACTTTAAGTAATTTCAGCTTGTATTAATTTAGTAACGTTAACTCAAAATCAGAAATTATACGTATTACTCAAACAATTTATGTTGATTATTCTTATCTTTTTAAAGTAAGGACCGATGCAGTGCGTAATAGAAATATTTACATAATTTATGAATATTCATTGAGACCAAATTAAACTCTTTTTTAAATAAAACAATTCTTTTTTGTGGTTGAATGAAAAGTTAAGGACTTTAAAACATTTACTAATTCATTTAACATGGCTAAGCAAAGACAAGACAATTTTTAATTGTTACCCAGTTCAAAACAAATCAAAACTTGATATTTCAGGAAATTGTCAACCAATTTTCCTTTTAAGATGCTACGATCAAGTATATATAAAATTTGGAGCCTTTCAATATGTGTCGAATTGAAGCGTATGTAATAGTTTGTGATGGTGGTAGATATATATATACGGTTAAATCTTAAATAGAAGTAGTGTTAGTAGTGGGTACCAAATCGTGCAATATTTAATCCTATCATAGCTTTTTTTAAATTATCTAAAATGATTACAATACTTAAATTATTTACGTTAATGTAACTCGATTTAACTGAGTAAAAATTTATTCAGCAAAATAAGTAAATTCTACTTAAGATGCCGTAGGTAATAGTTACTTAATAAAAATAAGGCAATTCTTTTCCTCAATTTTATTGAGTTATTTCGACTATTATTTTTTTACAGTGTGTGCTTATAGTGAAGGAAACTAGAAATCATAATTACAACACTTGGAGATCGAGAGTTACAAAACATTGGGAATAGAATATATCTGAATGTTAGATACAAAGAGATATTTTACCTCAGTTTTTCAGGTTTTTATAATTCAAATATTTTGCATCCAAAACCAAAGACGAGAAAAATATTGTAACGTATATATTAGGTCCTTTTGATAAAAAAATGTCCGTCTGTATTTATGATGTTGACGCTCTCCAGCGAACATTGTCTCAATGATACATTGATTATTTTACTACCTGGCATCCTTTAAACACAAAACACTCTGAAGGGCATAATCTAAGCGATCTGATCATTGTGAATTAACAATGAAATATTTTTGTAATACTAAATCATTTTTAAACCATACTTTGTTTGCAAGAGGAATACGCAAAATTAGTGACAAAATTATATGAAAATGGACTTGCTTTTTTAAATCGCTAAAGATAGAATTGGTTTGTCTCGTACAGATTATTTTTTTCTTTCGGAGGGTAATATAGGAATGTGGGAAAAGGGGCAGTATTCTAGACTATCCGTGTACTTTACAAGTAAAAATCACTTGCTGTGGATAAGCAGTTGCCAGTTGACAGAAATCGCCAAAGACCTAAATAATTCCTTGATTGATTTGATTGAAGGATTTTATTGATACTTATCCATTCTCGCAGTCCAAAGACTGAATTGCAATGGAAACAACAGTTTACAATGTATAAAAATGATAACAGAAATTATACAATAATTATTAAAATAGTCAAGGCAATCAACATTGAAATTCAAATAAAAGTGATCAAATGACAATATTAATGGCAATTATCATTAAGTTCGATCAATAAGCAATGTTAATCTTAACTAAAACATTCTAAAACAAATATGAAATTAACATTAAAACCATTACTATAACGAATTTGGCATGCCGAAGGGTTGATTTTGTGTCATTGGTAGAAAATATTGGAAATATTGGAATTGAATTGCATAATGGAATAAGAAATAAATTTAATAACATTGCAAATTCGCGAAGAATATTAAAATTTGTTGATAATAAAAATAAAAAAACAACAAACATATATTATAATGGCTAAAATATACTCATTGATCGGTGTGAATTCATTCATATTCAAGTATTCATCGTTATTTAAAATTCAATGCTATTAATATTAATGTTAATTCACAATTAAATATGAAATAATTGAAAATTGATTACAAAATTAAATGATTCATTAACGCCTATTGCACAATTACTGGCAAATAATCCCCACAAAGAGTTTTATGCATTTCACTCTATTATTCCTGCATATCAAAGGTATTTTGTCAGTTTGAAATTGATTATGGTCTTGATTATAATAATGAAGTTGATCAAATATTAATGATACCATGGAATGTTATAATCGACTGAAGTTTGAGAGTGGCATTATAAAATTGTCAAATAATTGTTAAAAATGCATTGGAAAAAGGGAAACGAAAGATTGAACATTTGGTAAAACAGTGGATAAAACACTTATTTATTCTTGTTGTGCCCCTATGCTTCTACGTTTTGGATAGAAGTTTTACAAAAATGTTTTCTATTATCAACTTTATATTTGGTATAATCCAAACAATACCTTGGATACTAACATCTGTAATTTCATAATTTTGTTGGATAAACAATTTATGTTTTAGTGCAAAATTATGTCTGTCACACCTGACATTACATTTTCTCTCGGCTTTTAAGATATTATTATGCAGTAAAAGAGTATATATCTAAACGGAACAAAATTCATCAAGCTCATTTTGAAAAGTGACATAGAATATCAGAATGTTCAAAATAATGCATTACACAGCATGTGTATTACAGGTACGTAAGATTTTCTACCATGAATGTCTAAAAAAAAGTCTTAGTTTTTTTTTAATGCGTTTGTTTCTTTTTACATATTCGCTATCTTGCAAATATGTCAACAATAATCGAATTGTTCCTTTATACATGTATGAATGTAATCAGACGATGATAGTTTAAAGCTTGCCCTTTGTTTCATTCATTAAAATATTTTTATTATAAAGAAAGTCTTTGATATTGCGTTTAATAATTTGGTTTTGTCTCTGCATTTTACAAGAAAATGATATATTTTGTTGTGGTTAAATCATGATAAATGTATGAATTTTCTACTCATTAATGATTCCCTCAATCCAGTCAACATAGTGTGAGACTCTGGTGTAGACACCATAGGTTTCACCACATCTGGCGCCATAGCTCACGATCCCGATCTGCCTGTATTTTTCTAGCCGTTGCACGACCAAGGGGTCACCTGAATCGCCTTGGCATGCATCATGCATCCCGTTCTCTGATCCCGCACAAAATTCAGTAGTCGTTTTCATAGCTATCCCTTTCTTGTTCATCACTCTGCGACATGAACTATCTAGAACCGGTGGTATCATGATTTCCATAAGAGCAAACGAGTTATGTCCGTTGAAGCTGGTACGACCCCACCCTGTGACGAAAGCCATCCTCCGAGGATTCACGTACCAATTAGCTAGATATGAAAATAATTGAGTACATAAAGGCAGAAGGGGGGGGGGGGTGAAGAACACAAGAAGACAAAAATAGTAATAGACCTACGAATAATCATGCACAGAGAAATCGAGGAACCAACATGAACTCTTGTATAAGTTTGGCGAATCATCGACGTTAATTGCGTACTGCTCATAGATCTCATGTAAAACCATAATATCGTTCGTCCTTTAAAACTTCGAGTAAACCTATAGTTTACGAAACCACGAGTGCATCGATCCGAAGGGCCCTTAACAAGATAACCTCGAAGTTTAAAGCTTATCTGCCGTAGTTTACAGGAGGGATTAGACCGCCCTGCAAGGTCACTGGACAGGTGGTTATCTCATCAACTCAGCTCTCAGTTAACATAAGAAAAAGAGGATCATGGGGGACCAATGGTCACCGATTAGGCATTGTTTGTTATATAGAGGGCGCAAGTAGCTACAAGTAGTGCAGTGGGCCTTTAAAACCGCAAGCTAGACTTAATTTACGGAGTTGTGTGAACCTAGCTAAAGATAGATAGATATGGAGATAGAGATGGAGAGACAGACAGTGAGCGAGGGTGGGAGAGAGAAGATGAGAGAGAGAGAGAGAGAGAGAGAGAGGGGGAAGGTGGGAGATTGTTTATATTATTTCCGAAAATTATCATAAAAAATAATAACACAATATAAAGATCAAAGAGTTATATACCAATAATAGAATGATAAAACGGTTGGATAGTCCATTTCAGAACCATTAACCTAATGGCTCTGTTCTTCCATGGAGAGATTAAGAGAAAGAGGAGGCGAGGGGAGGGGAGTGTGACCAAGAAGAGAGATGAATTTCAAATGCTGCATATATTATTAACAATTCATTTCAGCATTATAATGTAAACGTAATCCCACCTTACATAAGAAGATACAGACTACCATATATAGTTATAGCTCAACAATACTTGTATCTTGAAAAGCCAATTTTATTTTATTTATGTTATTATGTAAATTACCTTGAATATATATTTGTGTATGTATTTCAAATGAAAATCAATAAAATCCCTGTGGAGGGAAAAATGTGATTATAGTTATATTGTGCATAGTATACAGTGCAAGAAATAAACAATACTGATTTCATATGTCTCCTTTATATTTCCTCTTTTTCATGATCATCATCCCATCGTCATCAATAAAAGAGAAGATTTATAATAATATTCAGCTATATAAAAGCTGAATGTTATTATTATTATTTGTTAAGGAGGTGAAAATTGAAGGAAAAGGAAATATTGCAGAGTTCGAGCTCCATTGACTTTGAGGAAGGCTTGGGAAATTGTCACGGCTTATATTATATTAAAGGGATTCTGTACGTCATTGGCAGTCTAGCATGCAAGAGCAAAAATACAATTTAGTTAGCAGTCTTTATGATTCCAACTCTAAAAGTTAAACGCAAGTTCTAATCAAGTTGATAAACCATTGATATTAGCCTGGTTGTGAACGCAATTGAAAAGAAATAAATGTCCTAAATACCTGTTCATGATATTGTGGAAAATCACTGGTTGTGAGGGAAACTTAAACATATCAGAAATACGTTTGGAACGGTGATAAAAAGTGTAAAAGACATTTAATGGGAGTCTAATTTTACATTAGGAAGCTGTTTAGATAATATTTAAAAAAAATCAATTTCAACACTCTGTCATATTTCATACGTCAAAATCGTTTTCATATACCTCTGGATTGGTGACTTGGTGGAAGACAGACAGTACGTACGAAGGGATTCAGCCTTGCCTCACGATCCAAGCGCAAGAGGGCGATGTCATTGTGTTCTCCACCATCGAGTTTCTTGATGTATTTCGGGTGCGTAATCAATTCGATCACATTGAACTCCTGGGCCCTAAAATGCATATCCCTCAATCTATGTGTCAGTCCTAAAAATATAAATCAAAAGACGAGCAATTCCTTTTGTACAGAGAATTAACGTCGTAAGTAAGTCGGATGAAGACAGCATTTTTTTAATAAAAACAAAAATATGTATTTAAGAAACTGTTATGTCTTAAAGCGACATTTTTTTTTTTCAGGCAATGTTTTGTATTTCTGGGAATTTACAAGTAAAAGAGGAGACTTCATTGATAGATGAAAATTAAATACAGGGAGGGAGAGAGATAGAGAGAGAGAGAGAGAGAGAGAGGGGGCGGTCAAGGGTCGAAGGGAAGTTGAAGTTGAACCAAATGAGATGAAAATCCAAAAGAGTCAGGAAGCTCACGTGACGAGAATTGACTAATCACAACTTTGTATCTGTAAAAGCTTTCTAAATTAATTATATGCAATAATTTACAATTGCCATCATTTTAGCTCCCTTTAGAATGGTGACTTCGAATACATTTTGTAATTTCTTTATCTTCAGGGCATAATTTATTTGTAGATATGTACATAGTTATGGGAGATATGTAAAGTACATCTCTTGTTTAAATAAAATCTACATTTTGTATTCATGATTTCATGTAAATAAAACCAAATATCTTGACTTCCTAGCTTTGTATGTGCACTTCTTTAGATAGATAACTTACAGTGTCTTTTGATCATAAATATATCATATAAAATGATTTCGTATTGCAACAATTCTTAATACCAGTTGATACCAAATGATCCAAGATATGACACTCTTTCAAAACATGCATGATAACCTTTCGTTCATAGCTGACTGTTAACATAAATAACAGTTTTCTTAGTGTAACCTCTTTTTTTTTTTTACTCACACGGTATATATTAATGAACAAAATTCTTGATGTGTATCGTTGCTGTTGAACAAATACAATACAGTACATTACAATACAATAGACCTACCAAGATAAACAGTTGTTCCATTCTGGCTCAGCGTATTTTCTCCAATGAAACATCGTGCTGCGGTCAAAATCCAGTTCTTGTGAATGAGAGAGCCTCCGCACACAATCTTTGTGACAGTTTTGATAAAGAATTGCAATGAAAAAAAGAAGAAGTCATGATTATTTCACAATTCCATCTATATTACCGCTCGGTATAGTACAATCAACGATCAGTTTTGACATGCATGATGGAGGGGGGAGGGGGGGGGGGTCTGCGCACAATTCGTATAGTCTCCAGCCCAGCCCCCCCCCCCCCCGCCTCCTTCCGTCCTGACTCCTTAAAACATTTCACATACGGAGTAAGTATTGTATAGTAGGTCCATGATATTAAAAAGGCACTTGCTTTGACATTATTCCCCCTACGACAATGAGCGAGTTCGTAATTGCATACTGCGCGTGCGCAAAAATCGGGAACGAACTTTTCCAAAGGTCACATGAACAAAAAGAGAGCTGAGAGAGGAAGTGTTTGTGTGCTGGCCTTTCCGTTGTGAATGATCCCATCAGTCACCGAAAATCATTTCTCAACGTGGGAATCGGTTCTGTATAGTAAACTTTACTTGGAATCTGATCATCGATAAAGACATATCGGCATTTTCGTGATCCAAGCGACCAGGGACTTGGATCCAAGGTACTTTTTACTCTGAAAAAACATTTCCTAACTTCCATAATAATATCAACATAAGCGCGCGTCTAATGGATTATTACTCTTTTTTTTATAGTCAATCCAATTTATCTAGTAGGCCTATTAAAGTCCTTTACTAAATAAAGCAAACTATAATTCGCATTTATTTAATCAAGTATTGATTAGGCTGAATAAATGAATATCATATTGATTAATTTCATCATGCTTTTAAAGGTATAAACCAGTTTTGGAAACGCCCCCCCCCCCCCTCTTACAAAATGAAATGGAAGCTCTTATTACCAATCATGTGAAAAAATATGTTTTGACTAATACGTGATGATACAAATTTTGCCGGGAAATCGCCTACTAATTGATATATTTGGTAAATTATCATATCGATCCGGCCTCGATAGATATCGCGAACGCACTTCAACATTGAATATTTGGGCATAGGCCTAAATTTCTGTTGTTTGCGAACTTAGGTTGAAGTATTGCCATCTAAACCTCTGAAGGCAATGTTTAAACAATATTGAATGGATTTTTTTCCACCCCAAAACCCTCGAACCGCAATCCTACCACTACCGGTCTTTACCTTTAACGGTTATTGAAGACGAAATATTACTTTCATTACATTTTTTTTTAAATGATATTATTGCTTTATTTAGTCAAGCCAATTTATCTAGTAGGCCTATTAAGAAAACGCTGTAAAACTATTTATATATTCCTTGTGGTGGGAGTCCCCATTGCGTGTTAAGATAATCAAATTTCACATAGGAGGGACTCCTCGTGATCCTAGTCCCCCCTCCAAGATGTATACGAGACGGCAATTAACCCGTTGATGTTCATCTTCATTTCCCTCCTCTTCAAGACCACTCTGCCACGTGCAGACAGTTACCTAGAGACGTTAAATTAATATTTGCTGTTATAGTTTATTTCTAAAATTCAAATCAAAAGAATCTGATTAAAATACACTATAAAACTGTCTATATATTTCTCGTGGTGCGAGTCCCCCTTGCCCGTTAAGATCATCAAATTTTCCATAGGAGGGGACTTACGCCACGAGAAATATACCCCTCGTGATCCGAGTCCCCCTCTACAGTCCGCAACGCCCGCGATAATTAGGCAGAATGACCAAATTTATACAGCACCCGGAAGTGCGATAAACCGTCGTATTTCGTGTCCCGCGATTTGCGAGATTTCTCGAGACTTTTGCACAGGTCAACAAACTTTATCACAGCTGCTTTGTTTTTCACTGTGCTGCGTAGCATGTAGGGGTAAGTGAATCTCCATACTTTTCTACGTATTTTGATATGAAATTTTCCTAATTTTACCGCATCTGAGTGATTGTAAATATTCATTGAAATGTGTCCATATTTTCCTTCTTTCGTAGGAGGTATTCTGACATTATCTTGCATTTAGCGTGTTCCTGACCGATATAAGAGATGTTTTTCCCCCAATTCTTCGATTTTTCACATCAACAATGT